AACTGGGGTAAACTGGTGCCCATTTGGGATGCTGGCACTCGCAGGTGGAGGATTAGTCATTCGAGCCATCACAGCAGCCTCTTGGCCACACTTTATTCCTGGGTGTGTCTGTGAAGTTGTTTCTGGGGAGATGGATGTTTGGATCAATAGTCAAGGAAGGCAGAGCGCACTTTGGATATGGGAGGCATCATCCAGGCTGCTGCAGGCCTGAGCAGACGCCAAAACAAAACAAAACAAAAGGCAGAGGGAGGCCACATTTGCTCTCTGACTGATAGCTTCACCAATGTGCTGGGCTCTGTAGCCCCAACGCAAGCTTTCCTGGGTTGCCAGCTTGCAAATGGCACATCGTGGAACTTCTCAGGCTCAGAGACTGTACTAGAAAATTCACCACAATCTCGCTCTTTCTCTCTTCCTTCCACTCCTCTCTCTCCCTCCCTCTCTCCATCCCCTTCTCTCCCTCCCTCCCTCCCTCTCTCTTCCTTCCTCCCTCTCTCTCCTCCTTTCCTTCTCTCCCTCCCTCTCCTTTCTCCCTCCCCTCTTTTCCCCCTCCATTTCCCCCTCCCTCTCTCTCTCTGTTTCTGTTCCCACCCCACCAGCTCTGTCTCTCTGGAGAACCCCAACCAATGCACCTGCTGATTCTGAACCCTGGGGAGGGGAAGATAGCAGCCTTTCCATCCTCAAGCCCTCCTGGCCATTCCAATCCCAGCTTCCAACCCAGGCAGGGCTCCAGGCAGGCTCCAGGCAGGCTCCAGGCAGGCCTTCCCTTTGGCCTTGAGATGGCAAGCTTTCCCTGTCCTCTGTGTTACGGCATCAGCAGTTCCCTTTCCAGAACACTTTTCCCATGGCCTTTGTAGGGCAACAACTACCTTTCATTGTTCAGGGACTGGCCATGGCATCACTGATGTGGGAGAGCTGTAAACCCCGCATCCTTTGTATTTTTTCCTGTAGCCCCGTTTTGGTTACTTGGAGCTAGTGTCCACTGGCCGCGTTCTGAAAGGACTTGGCTTTATGATTTGTTCTTATTTGTCTCTCATTTATTCAGCAACCCCACCCCTAAGTAAAATGACTGGTCTACACAGACAGTCCCTGAGCTACACCGCTTCATTTTATGATTTGAAATTTTTGGTTTTGTATTTTGATGGTGCCAACTTTGGATGATTGCATTTTCCTGGCTGGCGACGTGCATCTTTGTAACACCGGGCAGTTGCTGCCAGCCCCAGATCCCGCTCAGCCCCAAGCTCACGAGGGTTGCCAAGCTTAAGCGTTTGGAAGCCTCAGAGTACTCAGTGCATTGTTAGCTCACATTCAGACCCAAGCCCAGATCACCCATGCATGCTGTTGAAGTTCAACACTCGTTTCCTAAGCAGGCAGATCCATCAATTGACTTGCTGAGGGCCAACTACTAGCAAAGGAGCAGCTAAGATTTGAGCCCGAATGTCTCAGGGCAGGTCCGGCGATTTTCTTAGAATCCCATGAAAAAAAGCAAAGGACTTCCTCCTTCTAGACCTTACTGGTGAGTGAGACAAGCCGTGTCCCTAGAGGACAAGAGGGGGCCGGCAGCCTGCTGATTGAGCCCTCATCAGAGAGTGTGTGCTCCCTCAGTGCCTGGCGGGAGTGTTTTTACATCTTTTGTTTCTACATTCCTGCAGGTGCCGACTTTACTGAAGTCCTTTGGTTCTGGTTACACAGGATAGGCCTGCCTATCCTGGCCCGTCCTTTAAGCTGCTCCGCTGGGGAGAGGCATGGTGGGGTGGGGGCTGCATAGAATGCATCATTTGTAAATGGACCTTGCCTTGTCCAAGCCCCATAGCCGTCTTCCTTCTCCTGTGTCAGTGAAAAAGGCCAGCACGTGGCATCCAGGGAGACTGCATTCGACCTCTCACCCACTGACCTTGGGAAGTTTCCTAATGCTCTTGGCCTCCTGTGCTCAAGTCTCACAACACCTTGTTATTTTACTAGTGCTATTCTTCTGTGCTTTTGTAAAGATTTATTTATTCACTTCTTTGGGAGGTAGAGTGATGGGAGGAGTGGGGAGAGACAAAGAGAGAGAGAGAGAAAGAGAGAGGGAGACACAGAGAGGGAGAGAATCTATCTATTGGTTCACTCTCCCTACTCCACTGGCTCCGCCTCCTGCCCAATGGCCACAGCAGCCAGATCTGGGGCCAGGCTGAAGCCAGAAGCCAGGAGTTGCTTCCAGTTCTCCCATGCTTTCCCTCCACTGCTTTCCCAGGCAGGAATTTGGATGGAAAAAGGAGCAGCCGGGACATGAACCAGTGCCCACGTGGGATCCTGGCACATGCAAGGCGAGGATTCAGCCACTGAGCCATTGTGCTGTTCCTGTTAGTGTTCTTAACCACGTGTAGCTCAGTGCTGGTGTGCTACTGATTAGACCTAAGTGGAGTGGGGCCATTATCAGCGTGTGTGGATTCCATTTGTTTTATGATCCTTCACACCAAATTAGTCCCTCTGGCACCTGTGCTGCATCGCGGATTCTCAGGATGTCTGTAGTCAGCCGGAATTCCCAGGACTTTCCTTACGGATTACTCCCCAACCCCCTGACACATGTTGAACACGTGATTTCCACTCTAACTTCCACGTGTTGTGTTTTTTTGAAGTAGGGGTACACCTGTACTGCACATGGATTGAGATCACAGTGTGAAGCTGTGAAATGATATTCCATTCTTTCTCAGCAATTTAATATCTAAAGCCATGTTTTAATCCTTGGCATCAGCTTAGGAGTTTACATGAGTCACTTTCAAAAGATGGTTGAAAAGTGGAATTAAAAATAGGCTTTTTTTTAAAAAAAAAAAAAGAAGATATATTTATTTTTATTGCAAAGTCAGATATAGAGAGAGGAGGAGAGACAGAGAGGAAGATCTTCTGTCTGATGATTCACTCTCCAAGTGACCGCAATGGCTGGAGCTGAGCCAATCCGAAGCCAGGAGCCTGGAGCCTTTTCCGGGTCTCCCACGCGGGTGCAGGGTCCCAAGGCTTTGGGCCATCTTTGACTGCTTTCCCAGGCCACAAGCAGGGAGCTGATGGGAAGTGGGCTGCCGGAATTAGAACCGACACCCATATGGGATCCCGGGCATGCAAGGCAAGGACCTTAACCACTATGGTATCATGCCGGGTCCAGCTTTTTTTCATTATATACATTTCCACAAACATTTTGAAGATCCATCATAAGCATTTTTCTCCTATAGAATAAGTTTTTTTAAATTCTGTTTTCTCATGTACATTCTGGGTATCTTATAGTTCCCCATTATCAGTTTATTAAAGATTTCCTGATTTATTTGAAAGCCAGAGTTACAAAAAAAGAAGGAAAAAGGTCTTCCATCTGCTGATTCACTCTTCAAATGGCTGCAATGGTTGGAGCTGGGCCAGTCCCAAACCAGGTTCCAGGAACTTCTTCTGGATCTCCCAAATGGGTGTCGGGACCAGAGGACTTGAGCCAACCTCCACTGCCTTTCCAGGCCATTAGCAAAGCTGGTTCAGAAGTGGAACAGCTGGGATTCGAACTGGCACCCATATGGGATGCCAGTACTGCAGACAGAAGCTTAGCTTGTTATATCTTGGCAGTATCCCCCACCATGTTATGTGGCTTTGGATTTTTCTTGGGTCACTGGAGCTAAGAAGCCAGGGCTCTTCCTATACCAGTGCCAAAGGAGAAAACAGAGTTTTCCATTGGGCAGGGATCATGAGGAAAACTTCCTGGAGAAGGCAACTGTGAGTGGGATTTGTGGACAAGGAGGGCATGGGCAACCGAAGGCTGAGGAGAGAGGGACCGTACAAGCAGGAGAGGTCTCACAGCACAGCAGTCTGGACAGGTGGATGTTCGGAGCTAAACCAAGAGTGTCTGACTGCCCCCTCCCCTTCCAGGGGATGTGATCTGCAGCTGTAGTGGGGACCCCATCTCCAGAGGCTGCATTTGGAGACATGAAGGTTAGTGTGGTGTCTAAGCTGGACTGCTGCACACTCCAGGGGCTGCAGAGTCAGTGAGCCCCACTCCACCCCCCCCCCCCCAGGTCAGGGTGAGGGGAGGAGAGAGCTATGCAGGGGTGAGCCTGCTATAACAGAAGGTTCTGCTGCAGAGTTCACTGCCACATCCATCCTCTCCCCCAGTCCAGCCTCATGCTGGGTTTGCCCGGGGACGGGGGGGCTTCCTAGATCCACCTGCTTCACTCTGATCAGTTATAAACTCTTCTGGATCCTGAGGGGTTCCCTCTCCCCACGCCCACCCACTAGTTGCCTCTGGTCCTGCGCCTGGCTTAGCCCTGCTGGTGTTTGCAGAAGCAGTACACAAACAAACAAAAAACAAAAAGCAACCCGGGCACGTTTGCTGCAGAGTGTTATGGTCTTTATTCTCAGCCTGCCTAATCAGGTGACATTCTCCTGGGTTAGTCCGTGGTAGGTCTCCAGCTCCGTCCTGGCCTGCGTGGGGTGCCGTGGAGTAGTGGAGACCCAGATCTCACAAAGCACCTAGTTTAACGGGGCTGGGTGGTATGCGGGTATGGGAGGACAGGATGAGACTCCAAAATAGTAGGAGTAGGCTTACCAAGCCACGGGTCACACTGGTACAGCGAACCTGTATCACTAGAGGTCTCAGCTCCCATCCTTCCTCTGGCCCCCTTAGTTCAGAACCTTTATGAGTGTTTGTCCTTCTCCTCCATCCCTTTGTGCTTAGTATCTTCCCAGTGGCGGCAGCAGCAGCAGCGGTCAGAGCTGCACCAGTGTTGCAGGGCATCCGTGATCTAAGCTTTAGGACCCGCCCTGCCTCAACTCCGTGGTCCCCAGGTATCAATCCCCTTCCGAGCTTTGCTGCTTGGAAGCCCTCCCTTGCCAGCGCCTCCTCGCCTGACCTTTCTTCCTTGGGTCTTTAGGAAGGAAAATTGAAGCGGGCAGGGAAACCAAGGCGGCTCGAGAGAGCCTCATCTCGGTCCCACCCGTGTATCAGGCCTGGGGCACCTCTCTCCCAAGCTGCCCGACTCCCTTAGGGGGTGCTAGTCAGTGAGGAGATCCGAGCCCGCCACTCCCTCGGTTCGGCTCACAGCCTTGTCCTCTCCTGTCACCTTGGCTGTCTCTTTGCCCTCGCAGTCCAGTGGGGCGGGGCCGGGATGTCTTAGCAGCCGCAGCCCCTTGCCGAAGGCTCGGCGCACGGCCGAAGAAGAGAAATAGAAAAGCAGGGGGTCCAGGCCGGCGTTGAGGGCGCTGAAGACCACCGCTTCCACCCGCCACGGGGGGCTTTGCTTGAGGTAGAAGCCCACCAGGTGGGAGATGTTGTAAGGGCCGAAGCACAGCAGGAAGTTGAGGAGCGTCACCACAGCGAGTCCCACGGCGCGGCGCCGCCGCTGCGCCCCGACATGCGGCTGCGTGAGCATGATCCACACGAAGCGCCAGTAGCAGAAGACGGTGACGGCCATGGGGATGAAAAAGAGGACCAGGCACAGCTCCAGCCGCACGGGCAGCACCACGTCCAGCTGCTCCTGCGTGAAGTTTTCGTAGCAGGTGATCTCATGGCGGCTGCCGGCCTCCTGGGTGGAGTTTAGATACTGCACAGCAATCACGATGGTGCAGTGGCCAAAGGACATGATCCAGGCCACCAGGGCGGCGATCACCCCATACACGGGCCGGCGGGAGAGCTTGTACTGCACGGGGTAGGCCACTCCCAGGTAGCGCTCGATACTGATGCCCGCCAGGAGCCACGTGCTGCAGTAGATGCTGCTGTAGAAGCCGAAGCCGGTAAGGGCGCACACCACCTGCGGCAGGTACCAGCGAAAACCTGACGCCGCCTCCACGATCTTGAAGGGCAGCAGCATCAGCAGCAGCAGGTCAGCCACGGTCAGGCTGAGCAGCAGGATGTGCACGGGGGCCGGCTGAGGCTGGCGCACCCTCTCCACGAAGGCCCGCAGAGCCAGGAGGTTGGCGGGGAGCCCCGCGAGGAAGATGATGATGTAGGCTGTGAGGATCAAGGAACTGTGCAAATCAAGCCTCATCCTGGGGGGGAAGGGGGAAAGGAGGGGAAAGAGGGGAGCAGGGGGAGGGCGAGAAAGGGCAGGGTCAGGAGGGCTCCCCTCCTCACCCCCACCCCCCTCCACAGCCTGGAGACCTCTGTGGTTCAGGACGTGACCATCCTCCCAGGCACTGTCCCTGCTTATGCCACCTGCCAGCGCTGCCCAGAGCAATTATTGACTTTGCCTTGGGCGGGATATTAGGAGGCAGTAATTACATTTGCCATCCTGTGTCTCTGGGGGAGACCAAGCCTCGGCTGCCCCAGGGAATTCCCCCTTCCTCCTTCTCCTCTTCTGGTTTTCTGGGCCTTCCTCCACCAGTCCTCCTCGCAGATCCAGGAAGTGACCAAGAGCAGGTGTCCAGCTCGATGGAAGGCTCCTGGATGGGGACCTGCAGGAGAGAAAAAGGTGCTGTGTGGACCAAGAGGAGCCGGGAGGAGTGTCTTAGGAGGACCAGCCAGGACTGGGACAACCTGTCTCCCTCCCCAGCCTATCTCCTACCTCCTCCTCCTTGTACACACGTCCTCTCCCGTGGCCGGCCTGGGGTGACTCTTCTGGAAAGTGGAAGCAGAGAGGGGGGACGGTGAGGTAGGAAGGGTGAGCCACTCCTGTGTTTTGGGGTTTGTCCCCCGAAAGCCTTTTATAGAAAGATCCAGAAAAACTCCTGGTGCTCCTCAGTTGGTGGTCCTACAAACACACAGAAGGACTCTGCATCTTACTGGGGGGACTCCACGCAGGCCTCTGCACTTGCCTTGATTCCCTGGTACAGCACCCCCTCAACCCTCTAGTTCCTACGTCTGGGTGGGATCCCGACACCACAGCAGCTGACACTCCCCCCAGCCCTCCCAGCACTTCCCCCTCCCCCCAGCCCCAGAGCCCTGAGCACACCACCTCTTTCCACCGTGCGTGCCCTGAGCTGGCCGCCTTGCCTTCTCTGTACTCCGCAGAGGTGGCTCCTGGGAGCTGATCCTGCAGAAAGTCTGGAAGCTACAAGAAAGGAGTCAGAACCTTCACTCTGCTCTTGCCTGTTTCACACAGAAAAGAAAAAAAAAAAAATTGCGAGGGACCTGGCTGGCAGAAAGCTTTTATACCAGCCCGTGTCATGTGACCCGAGAAAGGCAGGTCAGTGGCCAGCAGCCTTTCCTCTCAGACCCCAAGTCCAGGGCCCCGGCTGCTGCGCTCTCCCTAGAGATCCTCCCTCTGACTTCCAAACACAGATTTTTCTGTTCCTGCTTCCTGATTTTTTTTTAAAAATCCCAGGCCATTTTCTCCCCACTTCCCAATTTAGATTCTCTTTTCTTTTCTAGTCTAAGTCTTCTGTAATTCTGCTCTACTTAGAAAAGAGATTTCCAACTTGCTTTTATCTTAAAACAAAACAAAACAAACAATGTTTCTATACGATCTGCTCTCGGCCTCCGTAACCATCTCTGGGCTTCTCAGTTGGAACACATCGGTTTTGCCTAGCTGGTGGCTCGAACTGGTGGAAGTTGGGTGGGGTGTAGAGTCTAGCAGACACGGGTTCATATCCAAGTCCCTTCATGCCGAAGATGGGGTGATCAATTTCCTCAGCTTCAGCTCCTTTTTCAGCCCAGGGGAACATGTGGAAATACTCATATCCCAGGATTTCCTTGAGTAACCGGGGAGCGTTTAGGAGGGTTAGTCCTAAAAGTTCATGGAGGCACTGGAGTAGTAGCTTAAGCCTCTTCCTGCAGTGCTAGCATCCCATATGGGTGTCAGTTCAAGTCCCCTGTGCTCTATTTCTAAACCAGCTTCCTGTGAGTGGCCTGTGAAACCAGCAGAAAGTGGCCTGAGTGCCTGGGTCCCTGCACCCACCTGGGAGACCCAGAGGCAGCTCCTGACTCCTGATTTTGGACTGGCTCGGCTCCAGCCATTGTGATCATTTGCAGAGTGAACCAGCAGGTGGAAGGTCTCTCCTTCTCTATCTATAACCGTGCCTTTCCAATCAAAACAAATCTTAAAGAAAAGTATATGGAAAGTGAAATTAGGATATATTTATTTTGATGTATAAAGCAAATTGAAATCTATGTAGTATCCCACCCCCTCATACATATTTCCACAGGCTGCCTCCCAGGGTGCCCATTAGCAGGAAACCAGAAATGGAAGCTGAGCTGGGACTCAAGGACTTGGATGTGGGATGTGGGTGTTCTGGATGAGATCTTCACCACCTCACCAATGCCTGCTCTGAACTCTCCATTCTTTCTGGGGGCGGGGGGAGGGGCGGTTACATCCCATTCCCCATTGTCCGTCCGTCCATCCATCCATCCATCCACTCATTCACCTGTTCGTTCTTTCTGTAGCTCAGATCCCAGGAGTCCAGATAGCTTGCTAGCCAGCCTTCCTTCCTAGTCCTGCTCTCCCCTGGAACAAGCAAGGGCTATCTCTTCACATACATCTTCTCCCCAGCACACAGGTGCGTGTTCCTGGTAAACAGAGACTAAGGAAGAGATTGTTCTCTATTGCCTGCTCCAGAGTTTACTTGTGCCTTTTTGCTTTTATGATTGTCTATAAATATTCACAAGGATCTGGATTGGATTGTACAGTGGAGACTTAGTGGGAAGCAGGCAGAGAGAGGTAGACCTGCCTCTTGCTGTCAGTCCCACCTCCTCCTCTCCCTGCCGGCTGCCTTGGTCGGGCGTGGAAGTGGCTCACCTCTGCTGGAGATCCCCGGCGACTCCTCCACGCTCCTGCGGTTAGGAAGGCAGCATGGGAAACGGGATGTCTGGCTTCCTGGCTCGCGATGCCCACCCACCTCATGGGAGATGAAAGTGCAGCCGCTGGGGCTGAATCCCAAAGGCGACACTTGCAAGTTGGCTGTGGGTTCCACAGGTTCAGGTTTCTCTCATCGTCGAATGCAGCCTGGTAGACGAAGGAGGCTGAAGCTGTCATCTAAAATCTGGCGTCATCACCTTCTCCACTTCCTATTTCTAAGCACAACTCCCCCGCCCAGTCCACCCTCGCCAGGGTTCTCTTTCTCTTTTCTCATGCATTCATCTCTCCTCAAGAGTCCCTGCGCCCTCCACTTGTTTCTAAATTCACAGACCATCTTTTTCTTTTTTGATTTTCAGCCTCATTGCCATAACCTTCTGGAAGCAACCTCTTTCTAGGAATTCCAGTGCGGGCTGCTCTTACACTCTTTCCGCCTTCCCGGGGGTATGTCTCCACCTCTGCTGACTCACTTTCCCACCCTCGGCTCCGTTGATTCTGGAATTCCTTCTTGGTTCTAGATTCTATCCTCCCCTCACCCTGTGCGCTCCCTCCTCCTAGTCTCTTGCATCTGTTTCCACAGTGGCAGCTGCCATCTTTATAACCCCCAGAGCTGCATCTTCACCCTGGGTATGTCTATAAGCTCTGCACCCCCCATGCCAGCCGTCTGGTATGGGCTTTGCCGTCTGTGTCTCTTGGGCAGTTCCAAGCTTTGTGTGCCCAGATCTGAGCTTTGATGGTTCTCAGCAAACCCAGCCTTCTTCTAGTATTGCTTGTTTTGGGACATTAGAATGTCTCCCACCTTATCCCCAAGCCATAACTTTGGAGTCAGCCTTAAAGTCAGTCTTGGGGGGCTAGTGTGTTGGCTCAACTGGCTAATCCTCCACCTCTAAGCGCAACATGCCATAAGAGTGCTGGCTTGTGTTTTGACTGAATCCTTCCCATCCAGCTCTCGGCTTGTGACCTGGAAAAGCAGCAGGATATGGCTCAGAGCTGGGGATCTTTCACCCACATATGAAACCTGGAAGAAGCTCCTGGCTGTTGGCTCTGGACTGGCTCAGCTCTACCCACTGCAGTCATTTGGGGAGTGAACCAGCAGATGAAAAATCTTTCTCTGTCTCTCTTTTCTCTGTAAATTTGCCTTTCCAATAAAAATAAATAAATATTTACCCAAAATAAGTCAATCTTAGCACCATCTTCTTCCCCACTTGCAGCAAGCAGTCCAGAGTTAATACCTGCTGACTCCACCCATCCTTGTCCGTGTCCACTTGCCTGTCTTGTCGTCAGCCATGACCAGGAGTTAGGCAGGAACTAGGAATAACTCTGTCCCAGCCATCTACTCCCTTGGCAGTCAGTTCTCCACAAGGTAGAGAGTGGAACCTTTCAAAAACTGTCAAGTTATACCACCTTCTTGGTTCAGATGCTTTCAGAGGTTTCTCATTGTTTTTAGGACACATGTTGAACAGCTGGACAAGGCGCAGCAGGCCTGCCTGGCACAGCCCTTGGTAGCTGCCAGCCTTGCTGCTTGGACAGGGTTCCATTTCACCCCTGTGGATGTGCCATGCTTCCTTCTGCCACTGGGTCTTTGAACCAGTGTCTGTTGGCCACGCGCCTTATTTTTCACTGGTCACTCCAGCCCTCCCAGTTAATTCTGTTCCTCTTTCACATGCTCTCTTCCTTCTCTCTGACTGCCTAGATTTCATTCGAGTCCCTTCTTATACCTTTTTAGGCCATCTTAGTAATTTCTTATTACCCCAATTTATTTGAAAGCAGAGCCACAAAAAGAAAGACAGAGGTAGATGGACATAGAGAGGAGAGAGAGAGATTCTCCATCTGATGGTTCACTCTCCAAACGCCCTCCACAGCCAGGGCTGGTCCAGGCTGAAGTCAGGAGCCGGAAGCTCCCTCTGGGTCTCCGTTGCAGGCGGTGGGGAGCAGAGCTTTGCCAGAGTGCACGTGACCAGGAAGCTGGGCGGAAGCAGAGGTGGGACTTGAATCAGGCATGCTACCATGGGATGTGTGTATCCCAAACAGCTGTGCCAAACATCTGCTCTTTACCTCATCTTTTCTATTGCTGAATGATATTCTGTTTTATTATAATTTCATGTTTTTGCTTAGTTGTTTACCTGTTGATAGATGTTTATTTGTTTTTTTTTTAAAGATCAATTTATTTATTTGAAAGATAAGGTTGGGCCTGGTGCGATGGCGCAGTGGTTAAGGTCCTTGCCTTGCACGCCCGGGATCCCATATGGGCACCGGTT